CATCTGTGCCATGTTAAGTTTGCGCATAAAAACCTCTAAAATTATATGACCATGCTAATTTTAACACAATGTTAGAACTAACCCCACCATATGGAGGCTGTACTTTTGCTTGGTAACCTGACACAGTGAGATGCTTCAAAATGTGTCGTTATAGCTACGAAGAGTGCGATTAAAAAAATATAATAATGTGGCTTATACACACACACACACAACTCAGTAATCAAAACCACTTATGATAAAAAAGTCACTTTTATGGTACAAAAACAGGGCTTTTAACTACACAACATATCCATGTTACATGTTATCCCACATTAGGTTATTCCCCACTCTCTCACACACTGTACTGTTACATCCCTACAAAAACTGTTGTGGTTATCTTCAGTGTGTGAAATACCAGCTGGTTTTCAGGGGGTCCCGTGTTGGCTGGCTTCTCCAGCATTGGTGGGCTAACTCATTCACTATAGTGGCACTGATTAGTTTATTAACAACTCTTCTGAAAATGCTTCGATATAGTAACGTGGTGCTTTGGTAACATGCTCCTCCACACATTAACTGAGATCTTAGACATCTCCTCCTTTATTTTTGGTTTGAGAAATGAGCAACAGTTCACTCTTCTCACCAGTCTCTTGGGAAACTGGGCATGTTTTCCGATTTACAGCGACGCTGCAGTGCATTGTAAAGTTTTCAAAGGTATCCCAGGCACCATTACAGCTGCTAGGCTATGAAGGACCAACTGGGTGAACCATTCTGCTACATCGCCACCCTGAGCCAGACCAGTGCTGCATCTCTAGATGGTTAAGAAGGCTGAAGCAGCTAAACAATGAGCTTTCCCTGAATTTGTGTTTGTGCGTCTATTTCTCCTTAATTACATCATAAGTTTATTTTCAGAGACCCCCAATTTTGATTCACACATTCGGGGGGGTCCAAGAGATTAATTAGGATGTCCCAGACACTCCAGGACTCCAGGTTATATTGCTGCATATTGCGGTTATGATGTTGTGCACTTAGTACAAACACGTTCATGAATACTTAATATCACAGAGTTAAGACTGGAAAGTTTGCCTGGAAGGTTTAAAATTGGTCAGCATACAGTAACAATGTAGTCATTTGTGAGAGGGCTCATTTGCATAACGAAACTTTCTGCCATATCGGTATTGCACAGGCTGATTTTGTGATCACAGTGATATATTGTACAACCTTATTATGAAGTGTATTTAAAATCATGCTTCCTTATGATAGTTCCTGCAATAACACTTTAGAAAAACTCACCCCAGATACCAGGACAGGACTGTGAAAAGGAAGCATTGCTTGCCTGTAATTTGAGGTGATGAGCAGCCGGCACTGGTCAGTGCTGCGGTCCAGCTCTGTGTGCATGCTGAAAGTGACTCCTTGAAGCTCCGGGTCCTGGAGGTCCGGGCTGCGGGCAGGGCGAGACTGCTTTCTGGGCGTTCGCCTACAACTGCCACCACTTGGCTGAGCCGAAGGTGCAGCCTGGTCATCCCCAGGCGCCTGGAGCTTCTCCTCCTTGTTGTCCTCCAGATTATTGTTGAGATCCGTTCTAGTTGGGGAAGCACTATCTGGTAGGGGTGACTGTGGTGTCATTGCTGACACAGCTTCACTGTGAGGCTCTGGATTTTCACAGGCAGTGAAAGCAAAGCACAGGGAGTCTTTTTCCTCAACAAGAGATGATGTGAAGTCAACTGAGCTTATCTCAGGGTTTGGGGCTTGTGGAGCCTCAGATGTTGATGAAGCACTGACTATTTCTCCTTCTTCTGTATGAAAAGGTGTCTGGGCCTGATCACAACCTTCCACATCTTTTGCCACAACAAGTGGTACCACAGATGTTTCAACTAGGAAACAGTTCTCGCTGCTTTCCTCACTCATTACAGTGGCACTGCCGAAATGAGAGATGTCCGCTGTGTTCTTAGATATGAGCTCTGCGAGATCTTCCACGGCCTCAGCTTTCGAACAGTCATGTTCATCTGCTGTCTGATTGGAAAGTAAATTATAAGTGCTGTCTATAATGTTTGCTGCTCCACGCCAAACATCAGATGTTGCATCAACTGTGACTTCTCTTGAGGACACCAAGTATGTGTCTGGAACAGGCAGTGCAGAAGAAGAGCATTCCATAACGTCTGTGTGCTCAACAACATCAGCTTTACTAGTTGTGCATGGGTCAACTTCTCCCTCTTCTCCATGCATTTGTTCGCAGTGCAGCAGTCTCTCACACTGGAGGTTTATGAGACTCATCACCTCCCATGGACTGCTGCTCTGAACATTGTTCAGCACAGAGAAGGCTCCTGTGAAGCCAGGTTGCACCTCAGAGTTTTTCTTCTGAGCTTTTTGGTCTGAGGGAGTAGCGTGGCAAGCAATGGATATGGTCTCCTCTTTGAAGTGAAGTCCCTCTGTGTCCAGACTGTAGTGGTTTGAAGGTGTAGCAAGTTTGGTGGCCTCCTGAAGTAGATATAAGATGGAAGACTGGGATACAGAAAAGTCTTCTAGATCCAGGTCCTCTTGGGCACTCTGAGGGCAATGTCTGAGGTCATCTGGAGTGTCAACTCCTGAACTCATGGTTTGTTGCCTATTTACTGGGCAAAAGAGTGTTCGTTTAGGAACATAACCCAGCAAACAGTGTAAATTTGTTAATGTATAGTGATATTCCTAAATAATTCCAGACGGAAAGTTCTCTACAAAATGAATAAAATGGTTCTTAACGCCTCCAGATAGGCTACCATACAGGGCTGACAAGAACGTGGTTTGTAATTATACGAGAAAACGATATAAAACTTCATATTTACGACTAAGACTAGTCTTTACAGTCTTCACACAGGCTAATACACCGTGTGTACAACAGAGACTGTCTAAATTTAAATAAAACATCGTGTTTTTTTAGTCTGTTACTCACGACATTATTCCCTCAGGTAGATTTTCTTCAGAAATTATAACGTAATCCTCTCTGAAGTGATGCTCAGAAAACCGGCTCGAGCTCCCTCAGCCTGCGCGCGCACCTTCACGAGCACTAGATTAAATCTTATTCACCTTTAACACTATTATAACAAACTTAAATTTGGGCACAAAAGATATAAAGATGTGTTCCTGTAGTAACTGGCAATACTCAAACCCCACTGAAGCTAATCTCACCCAACTATCTCTTCACAAACGATATTAATTTTGGCATAATTAGTAATTACTAACCCCAAATACATTCAACCTACCTCATAAAAACAGCCCTGTAAACTTCTCTCAAACATCAAAACGCTCTTTTTCATTACTTTTAAAAATTGAGAACGTTCTGTTTCACGTGACGTTGGGAAGTCAGGTGACCTCATAGAGCAGGTGTAGCTGATTTCGAACTTGGCCAATCATAGGGAACTCATTTAAAGGGCCTTTTATACTTCATTTTATTCTTTTTTTTCTTCCTTGAGGTCCTCTGATGACATTCACGTGATTTTATGTACCACAAACAGTCATTAATTAATCTTTACACTTTACAACCTCTCTTAATTCCTTACAATTAAACACTGTTTTTGTTACTGTGCCTTTAAGCCTGATATATATATGTAAAGGATCTTTGTTCTGATTGGCTGCCCTGTTTTGCACCTTATTCACAAAGCAGTCCGGCCTGAAACAGGCCTTATGACTTCTTTACAAAAGGCTGGGACTATACTGCTGCAGGCTGAAGCTGTGTATATACACTATGTAGCCAAAAGTACGTGGACACTCCTCGACAGTAGAACAGGTCAAGAGCTCAGTGGCTTTAAACATTGCACTGACACATTTGCCACAAGCTAGCTGAAATTTCTTTCTTGCTAGATCTGCCCCAGTCAACTGTCAGTACTATTACTGTGAAATGGAAGCATATAGGAGCAACAAGAGCTCAGTCACAAAGTGGTAGAAGATGCAAACTCAGAGCAGGACCACTGAAGAGCTGAAGCACACAGCACCTATTCTTTGTTGAATCACTCACTACAGAGTTGTAAACTGCCTCTGGAAGCACGTTCAGCAAAAGAACCATGTGTCAAGAGCTTCATGAAATGGGTTTCCATGGCTGAGCAGCTGCACACAAGCCCAAGATCAAAATGCACAATGCCAGGCATTGGGTGGAGTGTTGTAAAGCACGCCACCACTGGACTCTGGAGCAGTGGAAATATGTTTTCTAGAGTGATTAATCACACTTCACTATCTGGCAGTCTGATGGACAGATCTGGATTTGGCGGATGCCAGGAGAATGCTACCTATAAGAATGCATAGTATTGACAGTAAAGTTTTGTGGAGGAGGGATAATGGGCTGGGGCCCCTTAGTTCTAGTGAAGGATAATGTTATAATGTTAATACTACAGCATACAAAGACATTTTAGACAATTTGAAATGTTGCAGAGGAGTGTTATAGCCACAAAGCCCCCCCACAAACACACACCTCCATATTAATCTCTTTGGTTTTGGAATGAGATTTCCAACAAGCTCGTATGTGTGCAATGTCAGGGTGTCCACATACTTTTGTCCATGTAGTATATGTAAATGCCCAAACTTTCACAAAAACAATGAATTGAATGAATGGTATTTTTAAAAACTTTAACCAAGTTTACATGCTTCATTAAACTCTTATTTTAAAAAAGTACAACAAATTGTCTTTAATGATATTGGCCCTTGGAAAATCTCAAATGGCTCCCTACATAGGTCTTGAAATAATAGCTCATACATCAAAAGTGCATAATAAAGTGTAACAAAGAGAAATTTGGGATTCAGCCACACATACAAAATTCCCAGTGAACTAGATAACTCACATAGGGTACTACATAGGGAGCCATTTGAGTCTGAATAGACTACCTACTCATATTTTCCACCACTTCCACTACTACTCACTGCTACTGAACTTAAGTAACATTTCAAATATTAGTTTTTCAAAATGTGATGCTTTTGCCTCTCTAGATGTTTACATTCACATTCCTGTTGGCCTGCTGGAGAACTCTTGTTTATGTAAGGCACCACAACCACACATGTTTAAAGGGAAAACTACACTTTATTTACCAGACCTTGTACAGATTCAGGTTGAAATGTTTGCCTGTTTTCATAGTTGTGCGCATATATAGACGATTACAGTACAGCAGAAGTGAAGGCTATGTATCAGGTTAGGTGATCCAGAACAATAATGCACAGTTTCTTCGTCTTTTAGTGTGGTTTTATGCATTATATGTGAAATCTCCATAATGCATTTCAAAAGCTATAGAACTACACAAACATAAATGCTCTCTCATAATACTGACCAGAAGTTCCATAACCAAAGGTAACTTGCTCTGATCCACTGTTCATTAAAGGTCATGTCTCTATCACCTGAGAAGTGAGAACCTGTTCATCATAGATCCAAAACTCTAGTGTCTGTTTTCCTAAACAAGTTTAGGCCAGAGACTAAAGTACACTGCCTACTGAAATCTGTTTAGTCTGTGATTATAGTCAAAGGGGAACTCCACCAATATTTCAAAATTGCTGAACAATTCTGTCACTGAGATGTAAACAAAGCCATTCAGAGTGGTTTGATTTGAAATGTGCATTGTAGAGAAACTTAACATTTCAGATTTCTTCACAGTGGTGGTGATAGGAACCAGGAGTCACAATGTCTACAAGGCAAATATAACGATTTTATTTACTATTCAAAATGAACAGGGAAATGACACGTGTCTTCTAAGTCAAACAATGGTAAATATTAAGGGGGGAGCTTTTTTGTGGAATTATTGCCCTAATATCAATGTGCATGTACCTCTCCATTGTGACTGGATGTTAAAAAAATACATTTTAAGCCAAAACACACGTCTCAGGCATCAGGCAGCGTACCTGCAATCATTTTATGTAATAACTTTCTGTGAGGTAGCTTTTAGAGGCATTAAACACTTCAGACGTCTGCTTCCTATCACCATCGCTGTGGATAAGACTTTGACAATGACACTGTTTACACCTTAACTTCATTATGTAGAAATTCAGAAATATGAAAGCAATTTTGCATGTGGAAAACTTACACTTATAAGGGGGTAACACCATCAAACAATACTTCCATTTAGATTTCCTCAAGCCTCTGGAGAGATTAATGTAAATAGGTTTTCAAGCTCACAAATAACTTTATGAAATGAAAAAACAAAATGGAAGACTGGGTGATGTTTATCTCTGGATAGCCTATAGCTTACCTTTACACATATGAATGATTGTCTGGAAACGTAATTGTGCGTCTGACTGCTGTGCGTAACGCGGAATGTGTCCTTCACTACGGCCGACCCTTCTGGACCTGCAGAATTCTAGAACGGAACTTTTACAATTGTAACTGAATAGACTCTAGAATTTCCAGTCAAGTTGTGGCATTCTAGCTGAGCAAAGGACAAATCTGCTTTCTGTAAAGCATTAGCCTTTTTAGAGCCTTTTAATAAGCAGATACCATATTGTACTCCTTACTACATACCCCTGGAAATGAAGTCAAGTCTTTTTGAATCAGAAGGTGTCCATTTTCGAGACACCGATCAATGTTTATGGACTCTTTTAATGCACTTGTGGGAAGAAATCTGAGTAAAATCTTAGATTTTAGTGCGTGTTCTCCACAGTGCTTACACATTTAAAGGGGAGACTCTCAGCCTTCTAGATAAAAGACTCCTCCCACATCTGCCTTCAGCCCTGACCTCTGCCCTCTTTACTCAGTCCAGCGCTCTCAGTGAGGTTTGGGCACATGGCCATCCACGTAGAAGTTTCGTGTGACCTTGGGAAGGGTCAGCTCCATGCCGTCAAGCTCGGGCGTCAAAATGATCTGGCAACCCAGTCGTGAGTTCTCCTGCAGCACAGGGGCCATGTCCAACATGTCGTCTTCCCTTTAGGGTTAAAAAGATGTTACAAGTACATTATATGCACAAAATATATGCAGATAAGCATTGGTAGTATTCGTACATTAATAAATTACTAAAGTACTCAGACATTGTAAATTACTTTGAAAAATTTGTAGGAATGCAGGTGTCGGTCTGGTGGAAGTACTAGTGAAATACAGTCGTATGCAAAAGTTTGTACACTCCCTGGTCAAATTACATGGTTTGTTGATTTTCTTAGCACAAATATAAAATTCTTTGAAAGGAACAAACTTAAAATGTCATTTCTGTAAATTTTAGTGCATAAAATATATAACAAAAATATAAAATGTGCCATAACTCTTGCACAGGCTAGTTTTATGCTAGTTTTAATGTTCTTTTTTTCTATACATATGTTACATTCAACAGTGACTGTGCATTAAAAATGTGCAGAGGTGTGTTCTCTATAGAGGATGTGTTAACTTATTTTCACTTAGCAAATCAACAAAACATGGGTGCCCATACTTTAGCATACAACTGTATATACAAACCATGGTTATGCAGAGTGCTTCAATCAGCAACCTGCTGACATTTCAAGTTCTAACACAGTATGAGCTGACCTAAAAAGAATGACTGTCAGGGTGGTTATAATGGCTTGTTACCTTTCTACAGGTTCGGGGAGTTTATCATAGTATTCATCTTTCACATAAACATGACAGGTGGAGCAAGCCAAGGATGCCTCACAAGCCCCTGAAAACAAAGCAGTTAAAAAATTAAACCATTACTACATCTGTTGTAAACATGCCTACTCTTATCCTTCAGTGCTGGAGAAGTTGTTCGAACAAGACTTTTCGATATAAAGGGCTCATATTTAACGTTTATCTTGTATTTGATTTTTTCCCCTCAGGTGCACTTAGTGAGGTACCGTTAGTGTGGTTTTATGTACTAAAAAACATCATAATTACTTTTTACTTTTAACCAAAGCAGTGCCTTCTGTAAGTATTGTAAGTATTAGCACAATGAAATGAAAATCTTTCAAGACTATTTCTACATGCTATTTTCAAGAACAGAATACAAAAGTGCAGCATATCCTGCGTGTTCTGTGGTGGTATTTGCACATATGTGTTTCCCCATTATCTTGCATATCACTCTGTCCCTGCTCCTAAGACAACTTCTACAGGATCCTCATAGAATGACAAACTTTTGTTTATGAAGCTACAAAAAAAGACTAATAAAAACTAGAGCTCACCTTCAAGTTCTATGCCATGTTTTTGCGCTAAATACAGGACGTTGTCTCCTACTTTACCCTTCACTGGGATTCTCTTTCCAGACCGGTCAACAAACACCACATTAACGCTGCATCAGGTGACATGAGGGGTAGAACAAAGCATACTGTTAGGCACACTGATGCAAGAATTACAAATATATTATCATAATATATTATGAAACCTAAAAAGGTGCCATAACTTTTGCACAGGCTACAATATGTTAAATTCAGCAAATAAAAAGTAATTGTGCATTAACAGGTGCAGAAGTGTGTTCTTTAGATGTGTTCACTTCTTTTCACTTAGAAACCCCAAAAAAGGTCATTTGACAACCTTTGCACACAACTGTATGCTGCACATAAAATATTGTATAAAGGCTAAACAATAAGCTAAGCCACACTATTTAAATCTTCTGAGAAAGAACTTGGCAGTGGGGAAAAAATTAGCTTAACAAAATGTCTATATACATAAGAATGAAGTTTATACGTATAATATAAAGGTTCTAGAGAGAGCTGAAGTAACGCACACATCCTCGTCTGTGTCCTCAACGTTAGATCTGCCCTCCTCACTCTGGTGTCGATCTGAAATGATAAACCACAGTGTGAGTAAACAACACAGCAATGAATCTAACAAAGACAGCTTCATCTACTTAAGTGCTGTGCCTGGACTTTTCCTGTTCTCCCAGCCAAACTCTCATAATGAGATTTCACCGTGATGTTCCAGAACAAGAAGTCGTGATTGAGCTGCTACAGCCTGTTACAAGTAAGGAGAAGTTTGTGGACACCTGCTCATCCAGTGTTTCGTCTGAAATGAAAGGTATTAATAGGGAGTTTATCACCCCTATGCTGCAATAACAGCCTCTACTCTTCTGTGAAAGCATTACACTAGATGTTGGAATTCTGCTGTGAGGATTTAATTGCATTAAGCCACAAGAGCATTAGTGAGGTCAGGTACTGATGTTAGATGATGAGTTCTGAATCACTTCAATTCATCCCAAAGGTACTGGATGGAGCTCCATCACTCCAGGAAAAAGTTCCACTGCTCCACAGCCCAATGCTGTACCCTTCTAGCCTATGCCCGAGCAAGGAAGGCGACCTTAGGTTCACATGCTGCCTCTCCAGAGTGTCCTATTTTATTAATGAATACTTTTCTTTAGACACCATACAAGCTGTGCATGCATAGGTGAATGCCTGTGTTGACAATGGGTGCATCTTAAAGTAAATGAAATCATGCATTAGAAGGACCGTCTGGATACTTTTGGACACATAATGCAAGTCTGGAATACATAATGCAAGTCTGGAATGACTGGAATATTTCCCAACATTCAAAATACAAACTCAAAATTAAATAGGGGAAATTTTAGAATATAGAATCTGGAACAGCATACATTAGCAATTTCACTGAGGTTTCAAAATTTCTGCATAAACAAAGTCATTCAGGGTGGTTTTGGTGTGAAATGCTCTGTTCTACACTCTTAAAAAAGGTGGTTCTTCAAGGGTTTTCTAGTAAAGAAAATGGTTGTACATTGAACTATGAACACTCAAAGAACCATTTGTATGATTAAAACAAAAAGGCTCTTTGCCTCATGAAAGGGTTCTTCAGACTGACAGAGAACGTGCTGTAGATGGTTCTATATAGATTTTTTTTTTAATGGTTTTACATAGCACCCAAAAGAGTTATTATATTGTTACGATGTTAAGCTTGTAACCATAGAAGAACCCTTTTGGGTGCTATATAGAATCCTTTTCAAAAAGGTTCTATATAGAACCATCTGTAGCACATTCACGCATATTAACCCATTCAAGAACAACAAGGCTTTCATGATGGAAGGAACCCTTTAATCAGGCAAAAGGTTCTCAGAGTGTTCATGGTTGTATACAGAACCATTTTCCTTACTTAAGAACCTTTGAAGATCTTTTTGAATTGTATGGAAACTTCTAGAGTCAGAGCTGTTCATAGTGGTGGTGATAGGAAACACCAAGTGTTTAACACCACAAAAAAAAATTCCTCACAGAAAGTTATCATACGAAAGTGTTTAGGAATACATTGCCTGATGTCTGAGACATTGTTTTATGATAGTTTTAAGAAGGTTTTGGCTTAAAATGTTATTTTTTAAAATTCACTCACGGTGGAGAGGTACATGCAGGGCATTGTTCGAAGGCAAAATATTCCCCAAAGAAAACTTATTTTTCATATTTACTTCTATTTTATCACCATCCACAACATTACATATAAAAACTCAGAAAACAGCTGTGGATTTATTGCTGCTTTTGGATAACTTAGTAGATAAAATGACCGTATTTGTGTTGCAGACATCGTGACCCCTGGTTATTATCACCAACACTGTACAGAAATCTGACTCAGTAAGTTTCTCTACAACGAACCATTTTATACTAAACCACTCTGAATGACTTTGTTTACATCTTAAAGAGTGAAATTATGCAGAAATTTTGAAAAACTCGGTGGAATTCCCCTTTAATGTTAATGAAAGCTGGGCTCGACTCACTGATGGAGGTCTGCAGTTGTCTGTTAGGCGCCGAGTAAAGCTCCATGGCCTTTCTCCCTCTGGCTGAAGTCAGCACGACTCCGCTGCACATATTCAGCCGGTAAAACGGACAGACGGTGCAGTCCGGAGCGACTTTACCGAGCCTCACGCTCAGAGCACGGACCGCAGCGGCGGCCGCCATGACGGTGTTTTCATCACATGGCTCCCAGCAACCAATCAGAAAAGAGAGCGCTCTGATGACGCAATCAACACGTCTTCCTTATAAAATAACACTTTTTTTTTTCATTTTTGTTTGAATTTGTAACACAAATTGTCTATGATTTCATCCTCAACATATGTTATTTATTTCTATATCAATTATAAAATACTATTTATCTGTTCATATTTTGATTTTAATTCAAGGGTTTCGTTCCAAATCGCTTTATAGACCATTTTCAATCATTTTCCTTTGTTGTTGTTGTTGTTGTTGGAACTGAACTGTACACACACTAGAAATATCAAAAACATATTATGATTAATACCACCTTTATTACAGAAACAAAACAGTGTTTTCCATTAGTTATACACACTTTAAAACGATGGTTCTTCAAAGGTTCTTTAGATCCATTTCATGCTTAAATGTGTCTTTGCCTGGTAAAATGTTTCTATGTAGAACTTTTTTTTATTCTTTTTTTATACTTTTTTTACTTTGTTATGATGTAAAGCTTGTAATAATAGAAGAACCCTTTTTGTGTGGTGCTATGTAGAGCCATTTTCAAAAAGAGTCTATATAGAAACATGTAACACACATTCTCCATCAGTCTAAAGAACCATTTCACCATGCAAAGAACCATTTAAGCATGGAATTGTTCCATATAAAACTCATGGTTCTAAATAGAAACATTGCCTTTACTCAAAAATCTTCTTTTTAGTATGTAGACTTATGTCAGCTGTCATTCTTTTAAAAAAAAAATTGTTCCACCCAAAATTGTGACAAATGGATTTACAGCATTGTGGAATTCAACATTTCAAATGTACAACTCTGTTTCCAAAATTTGGGATGCTGTGCAAAATGTAAATATAAAACAAAATGCAATGATGTGCAAATCATTTAAACCCTATATTTCACTGAAAATAGTACAAAGATAACAAATCAAATGTTAAACTGAGAAATTTTTATTGTTTTTTAAGAAATATGTCCATTTTGAATTTGATGCCAGCAACGCATTTCAAAAAAAGTTGAGATAGAGGCATGTTTATCACTACGTTGCATCACATCAACTCTTGTTTTAACAACATTTTTTGTAAGCGTTTGGAAACTGAGGAGACCAATTGCTGTAGTTTTGAAAGTGAAATGTTTTCCCATTCTTGTTTGATATAGGATTTTAGCTGTTCAACAGTTCAGGGTCTCTCATATTTTTGTTTCATAACGTGCCAAGCGTTTTCAGTGGGCGACAGGTCTGGACTTCAGGCAGGCCAGTTTAGCACCTGGACTCTTTCACATTGGAGCCATGCTGTTGTAATACATGCATAATGTGGTGTGACATTGTCTTGCTGAAATAATCAAGGCCTTTCCTGAAAAAGATGTCATCTGGATGCCAGCAGATGTTGCTCCAAAACCTGTATATATCGTTCAGCATTAATGGTGCCTTCACAGATGTGCAAGTCACCCATACAATGTGCACTAATGCACCCCTCATAACCATCGAGGATGCTGGCTTTTGAACTGTGCGGTGATAACAAGTCAGATGGTCCCTGTCCTCTATAGCCCAGGGAATGCAGTTTACATAATTGCTAAAGAGAATTTTTGTCAGATCACAGGACATTTTCAACTTCTCCTCAGTCCATCTTAAATGAGCATGTGATGGCAGTATTTACCCTAAATGATGAAATCCCCAAGTTCTTTGATATTTTACTTTAGAAAAACATTATTCTTGATTGTTGCGCTATTTGCCTGTGCAGTCTTTCACAGAGTTGTGAACTCTCCTCGTGTTTATTTCTGAAAGACTCAGCCTCTCTAGGATTCCTTTTTTATATCCAATCATGTTACTGACCTGTTTCCAATTAACCTTGTTATTTGTGAGATGTTCCATCAGGTGTTTCTTTTAGCATTACTCATTAACCTTACCAGTCTTTTGTTGCCCCATCCCAACTATTTTGAAATGTGTGACTGGCATCAAAATCAAAATAGGCAAATACAAAAATGGGCAAACACAAAAATGAGGAAATACAAAAAAAAATAGTCTTTGAACTATTTATAAATAAATATAGACTTTATAGAAAGATTTGCACATCATTGCATTCTGTTTTTAAATTCACATTTGCACAGCAGGTTCTTCTGTTGTTACAATGTCAGGCTTGTGACAACAGAAGAACACTTTTTGGTACTATATAGAACCCTTTTTGAAAAAGTTCTTTATAGAACCATATACAACACATTCTCCATCAATCTGAAGAACCATTTCATGATCCAAAGAGCAATTTAGTCAAGAAAAGGGTTTTTTGAATGTGCAATCTATATAGAACCATTCTCTTTACTAAAGAGCCCTTGAAGAACCATCTTTTTAAGTGTGTACACTCTACGCAAGAGAAACCAAATCTTTGACCAACTACATAAACAAAGTAATAAAAATTGAATAATTAAAAAAAAGGATAAATAAAATAAAAAGCTTCGTACCCCTACATATGGCTGGCTTGGGGGTCCGAAGCGCCTGCAAATAGTAGCAACAAACGGCCTTGCTGGTAGTGCTTTATTTCGACCCCGGGCTGTAGGTGATTTGTCCAGCAGAGGGCGCGACAGGTCAAATGATGCTCCTCGAGGGTGAATAGAGGTGAACTGCTGAGGTAAGAATATCAAATTCAGGTCCAGAAAACAAATGTTTTCCCCTTCTAATCACAAACAACGATCTACGTCGAGCCACAGATCACACCTGTGATTTCATCAGATATAACACACCGCTGTACTGCTTAAACCGTAAACAGGCCAACTGTAAAACTCTTAGATGCAAATAACTTCACAAGTAAAGCAAATGTGCAGCTAATCTGGTCTGGCCATCTCCCTTGCAGCCCTACAGTAGATTAGTATGCCTGCATGCTGGCTTCCTGAACGAGACACAGAACACAGAGAGCTCTTTTGTCTTTACAGAACAAAAAGTTAATCAAAGCTTTCCTGAGCTCTTCCTGTCTCGACGTTCTAGCTTACATTTACATTTAAAGCACAGCTGAAATTACCTTGCAGTATTAAATACATCAGCCACTCTAATCTGAGGGAACAGTTCAGTGTCCCTCAGAGCTCCCAGATCACTCACTGAATGCTGTTTGATTTCCATCACAGAGATGGTCAGGCTGGATGTTTAGGCTGGATGTTTAGGCTGAAGAGCATCGTGCAGCTTTCAGAGTGTGTTTTTTTTTTCATGCCACAGGCAGAGTAGACTCCTCCACCTGATGGCAGCTGGAGATTAAATGCAGGCACATCTGTGTTATCAACCCAGGCTTTTCTTTGCCAGTCCTGTATGTCAAACTGACAACATCTTTCTCAGAAGAACTTCATAGTTTCCACCTGAAAGTTTAGCATAGTTTCCTAATAATAGCTAACATTATTCTTTTTTACTTTTTTTTCTCTGCCTTAAATATTTAGGACATAAGCCTGACATGTTATAAGTTGTCTACTGGTAGGAGTTTTCATGCAGTCATGTAGAAATGTAATTCATGACTACATGATATATAAAAGGCTACATACCCCCACATACTGCTGGCATATATGTGTGTGTTTGTTTGTAAAATGAAAATATGAGAATAAATACAAATAAACATAAATGCAGTAAAAAAAATTACAAGAGGTTCTTATTTAAAATTAGCTGGGCTGCCACAAATAGCTTGTACTGTATGAATATATATATATATATATATATATATATATATATATATATATATATATATATATATATATATATATATATATATGTGTGTGTGTGTGTGTGTGTGACATATATATATATAAAACCATTTCTAAAGCGCTCCTTAAGCTCAGTATTTGCAGTTGCCTGCCTGAGACTTGTGCACAGTCATGTATGTATATAAATGAGAGGTGAAACTGTGGTACTCTTGTTGTATTTAACACATTTCCATGTTCTGAGTCACTTGGCATGTTTAAAAGCATAAACTGAAACAACTGAAGCTATACATGGAGTCAGTGGTGAAAGGAAGAGAGTGATCTGTTTCTATAATAACATAGAATAATCTGTATAAAGAACCTGCACACTCGAACCAAAAAGGGTACTATATCATACCGACTGACTCATAACACTAGCAGAGTTGATTTCTTTTTTTTGCTGAGTTTAACACATGGGACATAAAACATAACTTTTGCATATATGTTTTACAACTGCCTGTACCACAGAAACCTGGCAGACCCCCCTTTTTTAGAGTGTACTGTATCTTTTACAGTGTTTCCACTCCAGTACATTGTCTAACTGCGTGCTGTGTTAGTTTTAGTACTCGGCTGTGGGAAGAACTCTTGAAGCCTGAATCTAAAACCCACATGTTAAGAATTTGTTTGTCATTTTTTTCCTAGGTGTGAAGTGAAGTGGTGTCATGTGTCACCTCAGGGATGCAGTTTGCATAATATTTGTGGAAAACTGAAGAAAGTAAGACTGCAGTGTCACTTCACATCAGTCATCCTATTGAAGTGTCGTTCTATTTGAGCAGATCTATGTGAGTGAACATTTCCACTTCTTTCACCACTGCTGCGTTGATCTGACCGAGTCAGGTTAACAAGGTAAACTTTCTTATGGTCTAGATAAAAGATCTCGGTCTCTGTAATGAGATAAACAGCAGGAACTTCGCGGTAAATATTGCAAAGGTGAGAAAAACCATCAGAGCAAAGCCGTCTGACAGAGCGGTGCTGAATGAGGGGAAAAAAGAAACAGCTATGGGCAATTCCATCTGGCACTGATGCGTTTACCAGCTCCCTCATACCTCAGCCAGAGTGTATGGCCTCTGTAGGCAAACAGAGAGAGACCAGTACCTGCCCACAGTGAATTTTTTTTTATCTCCACCCACCTGAGCGCACTCTCAGGTGCAATATGACGAGTCATGACTGATTGGTATTGGTAGGCACAGCGTGAAAATTAGGTCAGTACTTTCCCAGAGCAGCGCTCAGGATTGTGGAGGTAAATAACCAGCTGATTACAACAGTCTGAG